TCAGTCAACCATGAAAATCTGAAGAGTGTTCAAGAACCGCCCCCGCGCCTCTCGACTTCAGCACTTTGGCGCCCCCACGGCAGCTTATAACGGCGGGCGCGTTGCCAAAGTTGGCAGGTGGGATACAGCTGTGGATCTGAAGCTCGGGAAACGGGGATCTCGCGGAGGCCCGACGAGCAAGGCTCGAACTTTTCGTGTCAAGCGACACTGCCTCGCGCAGGAACTCACTTCTTGAAGGAGCCGAACGCAGCTAGGCAAGCACTGCTGCACGGTGCCGAAATCTTGGCTCGCATTCTCTTCAGGAAACTGGGCAACGGGCGGCGCACCCAGGAGAGTGCCCGAGTGCACCACATCCCGCGCGCACAATGCTTCGTTCCGTCATTTTAACCCCCCTTCCAAGACTGCCGCGAGCTTCCATGGTCTAGCTTCGGCACTTTTCCTTGGGGCAGGATTGGCAAAGCGATTGGGTTTCACGCATCTGGTTGTGCTAGGTGGTGGCACAAACCCGTTGGAGGACGACGGATCGTTTGACGGCACCCTGTCTTACCACTCCCAGAATTGAGAGAGGCGACATCATTCTGTGTCACCCCAGCTTGCTTTCAAGTCGGGATGCGACGTGCTGTAAGAGGCTGAGGGCCGCTTTGGTGTGTGAGCACGATGGGCCAGCCCTTCCTTTCTCAGAGTTGTCTTGTGAGCTTTCGTGGTCGCATGCGAGACATATTGTGACACACATGTTTGGGACCCTGATACTCAGCTTTCTCAGTAACGGCAGCCTGTCGGGTTGTTGGAAGCAGCGATTCTGACATTTCATTGTGTTTCTCCCTTCGAACAAGAGGCAACTGAGAGCCGCACTCAAAGAGACTGCAGCCTCTTTCCAGCCTGGCTCTAGCTGGCTTCCATCTCTGGTCCGCTTCCGTTTAGGCGTCTGGGACATCTTGCAGGATCTCTACTGTGTGTTGACTTTAGGGGGGCTTTCTGCAGGATATTCATTTGGATGCCATAGATCAAACAAGGGCGAGCATTACATCACTGCATTTCTATTCAGCAAGATGGTGGTCAACGCGGGACCAGGCCATAGCGCACACTGGCACGGCGTGCCCGCATGTCGATTTCAGCACCGACCACACCGAAGACTGATGTTGCACGTATTTCACTCCTGCGGAATCATGCAGGATCTGATCAAGAAGTGGCGTTGTGTGCTTGAACGCGAGCTCGTCAAGGGACGCCAGTTCATCAAGTCTTCAGCAACATATTGTGCCTTGGTGCAAGTACCACCATGTACAACCAGCTCTCGAGCCATCTGTTTCGGTCGTAGGTCTTTGTTTAGAACCCGGGCACAGCATCGGGGTAGTTCTCGCTATGCGGTAACTCCGAGAGCGATGATGGGTCCATCGGTGATGATGTTTGACGGTCATCTCCACGACGCGACAATGGTGTGTCCCAAGGTCTGTGTGACCTCGCGTCTGGAGCACCCCAGCCATTTACTTACACGCAGTGACCACCATCCAGCGACCGCAGTCCTGACAAGTGTCTATGACCTCAACTCCCACACCAATTTCACAAAACGGACTAGCCTACTGCGAAGCATCTGAGAGGGAAGAAGCGCCTGCGAAAGAGAGATCGAGTGTGTCCTTGCAGCCTGTGCCGCAATGGTGCGTGGAGTGTTCCTTCCAGGCAGCCGCACGCCGTGCTTCACAAAGCCACCCATCTTGGGATTTTGCCCACACAGCTAAGGGCTGAAACCGAGGCATGCACAAGGCACAGACAGCACTGCTGTCCAAATGCCGGCCTGGGCCTGACCATGCTTGTCATCCTCTCGAGCACGGGAGCCTGTGCACCAGAGCCTCGGGCATGTCTTGCAGCTGTGGGCGATAGGGACGCCCAAGCCGGTCAAACCCAAATACTCGACATGCTCGCCTCGAATGCAGGCTCGATCGGCAGCACGGCATCTCAGTATCGCCTCGATCGCCGTCGGTTCCAGGGCGATCCCTTCCTCGCGCCGGATATCAAATTACCCTGGCTGTTGAGGCGGCTGGCATCTGGGCCCTGGAGCATCGGCCGTCTGGCCGGGCGCTGCAGATCCTGGATGCCAGCTGCAGCACGTCGGCGACCTTCCTGCTCGAGTGCCATTACTCGATTCACCAGCTCGCCCAGCCTGGGAGATGCGCAGGGCTAGGAGGTCTGGCTCGTGTGAGCATCGCCTCGCTGGCAGGAACAGGCAAGCCCGGCCCCCGGCCCGCATGCGGGCGCTCCAGTCGTCGACATATGCCTCACTGTGCATCGACGTGGAGATACAAGCTTTTGTCCGAACGCGTACAGGACACCGTGGAGGGCCTGCATACATGCAGTAGGTACGTTGGTGATGGTCACCGAGTCCCAAGGGGTCCAGCCCCCCGCGCGCTGATGCGCTGGTCGATCCGGTGAGGATGACCCGGTCGGTCCCCTATCCGACTCACACACCCCATCTCGACCTGCCTCATCCGCGAGGGTGCAGATCTGGGGAGGGAGAGGGGGCAGGGAGGCGTGGGTGGCAGCCGCCTCGCACTCGCTATACGATGGCAAGGTGCACTTGTGCGTGGGGAACAGCAGACATCGGCCGTGGGGTTTCGAGCATATGTCGGATGTCTTTGTGAGGGTGGGTTGCAGCCACGAAATAATGGGGGAAAGTCGTGTGTGTGCCTGAAGGGAGAGAGAGTGTGTGTGTGTGAAGGCTAGAGGACAGGGGAATCAGAGGTGTTTTCTTCGCGAAATTTGGAAAATACAGTCGCTCAAGGACAGGATATGGGTTGCGTCGAGGTGCGATGTGAAGTTATGTGTCCCTGAGGGGGTTACACTTTAGCCAGGCTCGATTTGTTATGTTCAAGGCGTAACACAGCCAAGGCTTTCCCACAGTATTAAGGACTGAGGGATATCGTTATGTGTGTAGTACATTCCGTCTTTCTCATTATGTTACGTCCTGTGCAGCGGTGTTAGTGGATGGTGACGGTGGTGGGTTGGACCATATCTCAAATCAACTTTGTGTCCCCATCGCGTAAGGGGCCACGGAGATCACCAGCCTCCCTTGCATTTCCTTTTTTTTTTTTTTTTCTTCTGCGTCTTCCAAAATAGCCTCAGTAGCATGTGTCAACCCAAGCCTCGGGCAACCAGCAACCGCGCAGGACTCACGTAGGACGTGTTTGTGCTTCCAGAAGCGGGTCCCCCTTTCTCCCGCGTCTACAGCCACGACATTGCTTTGCATGGGGGTTTCAAACGACAACGGGAATCACCTCTGAATTGTCTGTCGTCTTTCCACTTCCAGCACGTCACAACCCCCCCCCCTCCCCCTCCTCCATACCCACCCACACTCCCACCATCTGCCAGGGACCCAGCCCCGTCCCCGGACCGAAGCTGACCCCCCCCTCAACCCCATATTTTTCCCGACATGAATTCTTTACTTAGATAACTCTCCCGGGCTCGAACCAATATTTCCTCCCTCCCTCAAAAGCCCTGTATATCCACTTTTTCCCTCCCCCTCCCCTCCACAGCAGAGAAAGAGACACGGGAGACAAAAGCACGCAACCCTTCAATTCGACGGGCAGGGGAGAGAAGGGAAGGGAAGGGAAGGGGGCGTGTGTGAGTGGCATCGCATTCCGCATTGCAGATCAGTGCATATGTCAGGCCCCTCCCCCATTCTACCTTGTACCTTCTCTGCGCTTCTTTTGCATGGTGGGGAGGGGGTAGGGTAATGTGTTAAATGTGATGTATAGACTGCGTGCTAACTGGACTGACTCCTTGGCCCCGTCGCGCCCGGCCGGGCCGGCCTATCACATGCCAGCCCCGACCACCCCTTGTCTGCTGTGATTGTTGTTCTTTGTTAAATTTCCCCTTTGGTATGTCGGCTCCGATGTGGGTGGGGATATCTCCGTGCCCTGTCCGCCGCGCCTGCTGCTGCTGCTGCGGCGCATACATATGTGTGTGTGGGTGGGTGCCCGCATATGTGTGTGTGTGTCTGTGTCAGTGTGTGTTGTGTATGTATGTATGTATGTATGTAATGTACGAGAGTGGATACCTGGGTGCCTACAGCTGAGCCCGTGATGGTGGTCCTATGTCCTGCCTTGTACTTGAAGTATCCTGCGGGTTGGGGTGTGGACTGGGGGCTCGGCTGGGCGTCCCAGGGTGCGCAGGCAGGCGGCAACAGCAGGAGGGCAAGGGCCGAGTTGGCACCGTGTTTTTATGCATAATTGTTGGTGTGAGTCGCAAATCAGTGTGGTGGACTTGAGCCGTCCGTGCCTGTCTCTCGTAACACCTCGTGAGATCGGCACATGCAGGGCTGTATTCTGTTGTACGTTGGTTCCGCAGCCAAGGTGGGCGGAATTCAGTTAAGGGGGGTTGGTTTTAGCTGCAGGTGTCAGTTGGCATTGCGGCGAACATTTGTTCTAGACGGGCGGAGAATCGAGCCCGCTCGGTTTGCTCGTCCATCTGTAAGGGAGGCAGTTGTGCACGATGTCAAGTATAATAAGGCACCCTTCATATGTTTACGCTTTGTACGCCGATCATGGAGACATGCCATCCCACTCGCCTTGATGATTTGATTTATAGTAGACAAATTTGGTATCATTCTCTTCCTCTGTCTCCCTCTCTCTGTCTCTGCCCATCTATACACGCAGGCAGATTAATTACTCAACAACAGGTGACAATGGGGAGACAACTGTCCACCCGTTTGCCACCTCTCAAGACTAGACTATAATGAGTGCATACAGGGTCGTAACGTGTCCCACGTTGACCCATTACTTTTGAGAGGCTCGGCGCGAGTGCCCACCCACGATTCGTCAAAGCTTCGTTTCGACCGGTCTCGTCAGAGGCACGACAGGCCTGGCAAATTTGCACAAGACAATATCAGCCCGTATTACTGTCGCCTCTCATCGTGGGGAAGTAACCGGGAACGTGCGTCATCCAGCCCCTTGGTTCCATCTCCCCCCACGCGCGAGCACACACAGAACAAACGCCCCCCGTTATGCGGCTTACTCCTTGTTGTTGAGCTGCTCGAGGATGGGCTTCTCGAGACTCTCGGGCTTGGTCGTGCTGGCCCAGCGGCCCTTGACCTTGCCGTCGCGGCCGATGAGGAACTTCTCAAAGTTCCACTTGATCCTCTTGAGGCCCATGAGGCCGGGCTGCTCGTTCTTGAGCCACTCGTAGAGAGGGTCGGCCTTGTCACCGTTGACGTCGATCTTGCCAAGGACCGGGAAGCTCACGCCGTAGTTGACCTGGCAGAAGCTCTGGATCTCCTCGTTGGAGCCGGGGTCCTGGCCACCAAACTGGTTGCAGGGGAAGCCAAGAATGACGAAGTCGTCAGGGTGCTTCTCCTTGAGGCCCTTGTAAAGCTTCTCGAGGCCCTCGAACTGGGGGGTGAAGCCGCACTTGGAGGCAGTGTTGACGACCAGAACGACCTTGCCCTTGTACTCTTCAAGGGGCTTGGGCTCGCCGCGCTCTGTAGGTGGGGGTGGTCACAGATTGTCAGCCAGGCTCTTTTGCCACTGCCACGATAGTGCTTGCCGCGGTGGTAGTGATGATGGTGGAACGCTGCGTGTGTGGTGCAGTCGAGGACAGAAAGGGCAGCTGAATGTGCTGGGCAGCGCGCGGAGTTCAAATAAGGAAGGAAGACGGCAGTTGTGCATGCAGACGCCATGGGCGCAGCAAGAGATGCGTTGCGCTTATGCGAGGACGATGGCCATATAGGGGAGCATAAGGGTGGAAGCGAGGGTGTTTCGGGTGGAGTAGCAGAACTTACTGTCGACAGGCTTGAAGTCGTAGAAGCTCGTTGCTGATGCCATGGTTGCGAACGGAGATTGTGCGATGCAGAGGGTGGATGGTGTCGGACGCAAGGGGGATCTTGGTCGCAGTTGGAAGGTGGTGGTTGATGGAACCGCAGGAAGTTGTTGACGTTGATGGTGATGGTGATGGTGAAGATGAAGATGTCGAAGATGACGGCAATGCGCAACCGGACCTGCGGCGGGGTGGAAGACGCAATCGGTATTTGTAAGGCCAGGGCCAGGTGCTGGTCTTGGCCCAGGGACACGCCTCAGCCCGAGCCTGGCTGCAACAGAGCAGGGATTGTACGACGGTGGCATTGGGTGATGGAAGGCTCGGAAGGGTTTGGGAGGCGGGCAATAGGTGATGGGGGGCCAAAGTCGAGATGGGACGACGATGAACTCGAGTTTCAGTTCCGCCTGGGACGGCACAGTGCAGCAGCGTGCCCACTTGGCCCTGCTGGTTGGGGGCTGTTTGTGGCTGTCTCGATGCCTCTCCAGCTGCTGACTGGGTGCTGTGCCTCTTGTTGGTGACGCCTTCTGGATCCTCTCTCCCCTTGCGCCGCTTACAGGAATGATGCTGCTCCTACTGCTTGCTATGCTTCAGCTCAGATCTGCTTCGGAACGGGGCGCGGCTCGCCATCAACCTCGGCACGCCCATCTCATTAGCCCCAACGGGGCAAGCTTCTGCAGGGCCTGATTCAGGTTTTGTTCCTGTCCAGGAGAGATTCTGAGCTGCGCTACGGAAATAGCAATTCAACCGACCCCGAAAGAAGATGCAACAATCTATCCGCGGTGGAGATCACCTACTGTGTACAGTCAAGCTTCGTCTGTCACTGTTTGGCAGAGCCCGGAAGGCAGGACGTTGCAGATTCGTTTCACTGTTATGCAGTGTGCAGCTCGCATACCAGTACCTAGGTAGCCAGGAGGCTCCAGCTGGTGGAGGAAGACAGGAACGGTTGGGGTAGGTCCGGGCCTGTCAGATGGGTCTGAGGGGTCCAGTGCGGTGCAGATCGTGTCAAGCTCGAGCTACCCCGCCACCGATGCGCGATAAGGTGCGGTGGGAAGCGATAAGGAAGTCGAGCCGGTCATCCACCCGCCCAGCAGTCAAACTGCAAGGACTGCCCAGGTGGGCTGGCCTGAGCATCTGAGATTGCCCTGTGCCGGCGTTCACCCAGACAATGAACCCAAGGAACGGATGTAGCCTCATACATGGCGTTCGCAGTGCTTTCATGAGAAGGACAATACCATACCACAGCCCAACAAAGCGTCCATCAGCTGACATGGACCTCTACCTTTGTCTCTAGCTCTTGCTCAATTCTGCTGGGTTTCACCACACTGGATACCAGTCTCTCGAAGCCTGTTTCGGCAATTGATGCTGGTGCACAGGAGACCGTCACAACATAGAATACCCGAGTCTGTGCTTCCGAACTGCAACTGCTCGAGCCAGACCCAGACTCAGAGCGTATACTTCCCCTGTCTTCCAACTGTATAAACCCTTGTCCAAAGGCTTGTAGAGCCTGAAAATCATCCAAGGTCAAGGTCAAGATCAGGGCCAGGCCTCTGAACAGATCACAATGGAAGTGCAACAGAAAAGAAATATTGTCATCATAGGTATGTGCCACCTCTCATTCAATCTCTCTATACCTAACTCAATCGTCCGTCCCAATATAAGCTCCTCTTAGCCAGCCGCCAGTAGTCGACTTCAACGGTTGCAAGCTACCTGTCCGTCTACCATGCACCCTCCCAGATCCTTGCTATCAGTGTTCCATCCAGTTCCCACCAAATACCCCTCCCTGCACTCAGGGGACCATCTTCACCATCACGGGATACTATCGTTTCCTGATCCTCCTCACCAGTGCTCCCATGCTGATGTAAGGCACGACCAGGTGGCGGTGTCATCGGCTCTACCACTGCCTACTTCTTAACACGCCATCCCAAGTTTGACCCTTCTCTGCACAAGATCACTCTCCTGGAGGCTACCTCCATCGCGTCTGGTGCATCTGGCAAGGCCGGTGGCCTGCTGGCACTGTGGGCCTACCCAGAATGCCTGGTCCCCTTGTCCTACCGGCTGCACCGCGAGCTGGCTGAACAGCATGGCGGAGCTGAGAAATGGGGGTACCGCCGGCTGGGATGCGGGAGCATCGGCGCCGTCGTGCCCACCGCGGGTACTAAGTCACGGACGGCAGCCAAGGCGGCGGCACGGGCAAAGGTACCTGCAACTCAACCTGGGATGAGTGCCCTGGAGGTGAACGGTCATGCCAATGGGGCAACAGCAGAGCCTGAACCACCAGGAGCAGGGACTCCTGACGGGAAGCTGGAGGAAGGCGAGGCCAAGGACAGCAAGGAGTGGGAGAAACTCCCCAAACAGGATGAGGCCGCCGCATCCCTCCTCTCAGACTCATCACTACCGTCCGACCTGGACTGGATAGATCCCAAACTGGTTCAGTTCTACGAGGAAATGGGCCGCCCAGGCTTCACCGAAACGGCACAAGTACACCCCTTACATTTCACGACAGCCATAGCCGAACTCGCGCAGGCCGCAGGCGTCGACATCCGGACGCAGGCGAAGGTGACCAGGATCACCACCCCCGCGGGCCAGGCAGACGGCGCCAAGACGGTCGAGTACGAGGACCGGCAGCACGGGGGCGCCGCGAGGGTGATCGGCGGTGTGACGGATGTGATCGTGACCGCGGGGCCGTGGACGGGGACGCTCCTGCCCAGGACCAAGGTGGAGGGCCTCCGCGCCCACAGCGTGGTCTATGAGGCGGACGTCAGCCCGTACGCCGTCTTCACCGACATCCAGCTGCCCTCCGACTACGTCCCCGAGCACCGGGTGAAATTGGGTCAGAAGCGCAGGCACAGGGGCAACGTCGATCCGGAGATCTACGCGCGGCCCTTTGGGGAGGTGTACGCATGCGGTGAGTGAAGAGCCTCCACCTCTTTCTCCCTCTTGGAGTCTTCAAATCTGGTCGGCTGACATGGGCAAAACCGCCCACCTCAACTAGGCGAGCCAGACAAGAGCGTACCCCTCCCGGAGACGGCGGACCAGGTGCAGTGCGACGACGCGCAGTGCGACGACCTGGCGGCGTACATCGCGACCGTGTCGCCGCAGCTGGCCGCCGCCCCGATCAAGGCCAGGCAGGCGTGCTACCTGCCGCGGCACATGCGCTTCGGCGACGAGCGCGGGCCGCTCATAGGGCAGACCTCGTCCCCGGGCGTCTGGGTCGCCGCCGGCCACACGTGCTGGGGCATCCAGAACGGGCCCGCGACGGGGTTCCTGGTCGCCGAGATGCTGCTTGACGGCGCGGCCAGGAGCGCGGACGTCGAGGTGCTGGACCCTAAGAAGTTCAAGGTCTAGCGCTTTCTCTCTTTTTTTCTACTTCCCTCCTTCCCCGAGTTCGGTGGTGGGGAATCTGTGCCAACGGCTGTGGCGTTGCACGGCTTTTTGTGTGGGACTGTTGTCGACAGGCTTGGTGACACGATCGGTGCGAGGTAGATCTGTCCGACTGTCTGTCTCTGCACTTGCTTGGCTGTTCAATTGTGCAGGCGGGCGTCACTGGCGCCTGTCGATCGTGCATCGGCCCGGGACGTGCCCACGTCCAGCCTGGGAACGCCTCACTGTGCGTGTTGACCGCCGCCCACTATGCCGGACCAGGGCGAACCAGGGCGAGCCAGGGGGGGGGAGGTAAGCCTGCGTGGGGGGCAGCGAGCCCCAGCCGCCCATGGGGGAGTGGCGGGACGAGGCGGCGGTGGAACCGTGGCGTCGCCGGTTTGACGTCCTTCGTCGCATGCGAGCGGCTGACTGACATTGTGGCTCGGGGGAGATGGTCTAGGGGATGAACGACACGGCGCGGCATGCTCATGGCTGTGAGACTGGAGGCTTGACTCCCTTAACTTGTTGGGAAGTTCTCCAGCCTAGTCTTGGATCTGAAGATGTGGGCTTCTTTGGGTACTTGTACATGTATCATCTCATGTCGTTTGAGCATCAATTCATGAGCGTCGGGTCAGTGTGATTATGGTAAAGCGTGAATGATTTTGATAAGCGTCTATATAACATATATCCCATCAACCTCCCGTACGAAGAAGAGCTCAACGAAATATGCAAAGTCATGCAGATGGATGCTGAACGCCGTCCTGAAAGAATCGCTCTAAATCCAGCCGAGCTGCAGAGTTCACAGCTGTGGCTGGGTCATAGCCGTCGTACCATGCTTCTCGATGTTGCCAGGTTCTTCGTAGCCCTTTTTGAGTGCGGGCCGAGCCGTCTGTCAGGCCTCACGTGGAGCCCTGTGGCCCGTACATAATTCAGTGATATTGCCGTGACGGCCGACCAAGGCAGCCACCACCCCGACCACCTACAACGACTTCTCGATCTCCAGGGCCTCCTTGATGCCCTCTTCGATGGCGGACACCTTGACCTGGTCCAGCCTCCTCAGCGGCCTGCGGCCGTACCCACCGTAGCCGAAGTAGCTCTGGATGGCCTGCTTGGTGCCGGGCACGGCGGCCTTGGTCAGGACCCAGTCGCACTTGGACAGCACCTTCTGCAGCTGCTCGGCCTCGTCCCTCTTGCCCTCGGCGTACAGGCTCCAGACGCGCGCGCACAGCTTGGGCATGACGTTGGCGCCGCCAGCGATGATGCCGCTGCCGCCCGAGATGAGCGTCTGCGTGGTGAAGTCGCACACGCCGCCGAAGGCCATGTAGCCGCTGCCCCGGGACCAGGGGGTCTTGGCCTTGGTCGCGAGGGCGACGCGCGTCAGCTTGCCGGTGTTGCCGCACGTGAACTTGGTGCCGATGATGTTGGGGTGCTGGGCGAGCTTGATGAGCAGGTCCGAGTCCATGTCGATGCCGGCGACCGCGCCCGGGTAGTTGTAGAGGATCAGGGGCAGCGGGGACTCGTCGGCCACGGCGGTGAAGTAGCCGTACACGGCGTCCTCGTCCATCTGGTTGCGGAAGTACGAGGGGGGCAGGATGAGCACGTAGTCGCCGCCGGCCTTCTGGGACAGTTTGCACAGCTCGATGGTTCCCTTCACGCTGCCTTCTGTGGCTCCGACGACGACAGGGGTGTCCTTGAAGCCAGCCTCGTCCAGCGCCTCCCGCGTTGCTGTTGTCACAGCCAACTTCTCCTCACGGGTGCAGTGGGCTGCCTCTCCGTTGGAGCCCATTACTACAAGGCCGACTAGACCATCACGGACGAGGCGCTGGGCGTGCTTCTTGATGACAGGGATATCGAGCTCCTCCGTCTCTGGGTTGAAAAAGGTCATGGTCGGGGCGTAGATGCCGCAGGGCAGGTCCCTTCGGGACGTCGTGTGACCGTTCGTAGTCATGATGGGCAAAGGAGTCAAGACGGTAAGGATGACAGAGAAACAGAGCCAAGGCAAGCCAGGATATGTTGGAGATCAGACACGAGTTGAAAGGAAGGAATAGGAATGGAACCCAGAGACTTGCGGCTTATTATACATGTTCCGGGAAACCTTTCCCGGCAGCGCGATAAATCGGTTTCCCATGACCTAATGCTTGGGCAGGGCCGGTAGCGGGGGCCAAGTGTACAGCATGGACCGTATTAGACGCGGCAGCGAGGTCGAGTGTATCGGATGTGGGTGTGTCGTGAAGACATTGGCCCGAGACAGGCAACGGATCGAATCAGGACACCACACTGGTGGTAGCCAGGCCCCTACTAGATCCCGAGCGAGAGGCGAACCTTGCCCACGGGCAGACAGGCCACAGGGATGGGGCAGTATGCAGAGACAGAAAGGAAGGACTAGGACTAGGCAATTCGAGACCGGACTATTTTGGGGGGAAGATCCACGATGGGGCGTGGGGTGAACTGCAGTGGATGCTATGTCGACAGACGGACGGCCATGATCTGATTCAGGATGCTTCGAGCTGGCTGGCTGGCTTCCATGCTGGACACCTGCACGAGACAATCACTCAGCGGGTTTTGCTACAGAGCCGGCATTGTCGGCGGTGAGGTCTGATCCGCAGCGCATATGTCAACGGGACTTGATCGCCCTGTCTATGTCAGGGCAAGAAATCCGGTGACCTGGTCCCGCGGGTAAGCAAGTGAAAAGCCGGGTCGCCAGGTCGCACGACAGGGCGGAAAACACTCCTGGATGGTTGCAGCATTGCGTGCAGGTGGCTGAGAACCTTGAGCGCGTTACTGGAGGACAAATCACCCGAAGGGTGTTGAAGATTTCTGGTGTCGCATTGGCCACTTTTTTTCTGCCAGGTGGACATGGCTTCCTCGACAGTGGAAGCCTTCAAGTCTTAGCACTTGGCAGAGGCTCTGCCTGTCCTTTAGTGACCCTCTGAAGCCAGCCTCAAGGGACAGGGAAGCCTCCGGGGAGACTCGCAGGCTTGGCTGTGAACTCGGCCGCGACGAAAAACTGGGGACAGGGCAGAAAGGCGGGGGACGAGAGAGAGAGAGAAATACCCCACGAGACAAAAGGAAAAGGAAGGCGGTGGACTGCCGGGGATGCACGCCAAGTAGCAGCGAGGCCGGCACTGTTGGCTGCATGCCGACTGGATCGAGTTAAGTGCTGCGACTGCTGCTGTTGCTGTTGAGGGTTCAATGTATGCAGGCGAGAGCATGCTGATGTGTATGAGTGGCGAGCCCAGTGTCGGAGACGGCGAAGACACAGACAAATGTCACGATGCCGGTGAGGATTGTCAACAGGCGTGTCGACTGACAGAAGTCATCCCACGTCGTGACAGCCGATGTGGGCTGTCGTCGAGCTACGAGGTCACCCCAATTTGTAGGCAGTAGCACAGTGGAGGGGACGGTGATGAGTGGAAGGAAAAATGGCGGGGAAAGTAATCCCACGAATGAAAAGCGAGGCCAATCCAATGCGGTCAGGCCAGTCCGTGTTTGATTTCGACGACGGAGGTCTTGGAGAGGCTGGCAAGGGACTCCTTGTCCTGAACGTGAGAACTCAGGCACTTTGATGCGCATGTGTACATGAATGTTTGTACACCCTCAGATATGGTGTGTGCTCCGGCGAATTTAGCCTGTTGTGGTGATTGAGGCTGGTGGCTGACTTGGTTGCATTCTGAAGCACGACAGGTGGAACAGGTGGGCTAGGACGAAATGACGGTATAGTGGAGCTAATAAGGACAAGACAGACAGAATCGCGGGGTAGAGGTCGGTTGGTCGGCGTCGACGTGGGGGCGGGGTAGGGATTGATTGACCTTTGCTCTGCTCTGTCTGAGCCTGCAACCTTTCGCTACTTCTCCAGGCCTTGGCCCTTGGCGCCACACCAGCAGCGAGATTCTGCCCCATGTCTTCCAGAATAAGTCCCTGGCATGAGCAGCCATGCACGCCATGCGTCGATGATTCCTGCCCCAGCGGCACGCATCCATCAGAGCAGGCCACACAGACACGGCTGCTGCCGAGTGAGCCAGAAGCTGCTCTCGTGACACGCCCGCCTGCCTGTTCATCTCGCAACAAGCAGTACCTAGACAGGAACACATTAGTTTAGTACATGGTACATTTATTCCTGGGCACGCAGCACGTCTGGTAGTCCAGCCTAGATTGAACGGTTGTGGGGCTGTCCCAAGGGTAACGGCCCGGTCTTCGGCAGCTTTTGCCCCAGCAGCGACGTATTCTGCTCCTGGCCGTCCAGCATGATCAGTCAGTCCAGTTCCAGCATCGTGGGCCAAGGTCTCGTGGGCATCGTTCCACGGCGAATCCCAGGAACACATCCCCCAATGGACAGAAGAGCGTGCTGGGCTCATGGCCTGGGCGAGGCTTGACTGTCTCGTGAGGCTCGCCTGGGCACTCATCCAGGCAGGATGTTGGACATGACAGGCTCCCAACAGCACGATCTGCTGCGTATCCAGGTAGGCTACATGGACTGTAAAGTGGCCCGGTCCCCCCTGTCTGGCAGGACCCCGTCTCTTGGTGCTGTACAGCTCGAATGATGGGGAAAGGGGAATTCCTCCAATTCGTGGTCTTGCAGCCCCTCCGTCCCCTCTCGGTCAATTTCTCCGATGCCAGCCTCTGCGTGCTTCACAGTGTCCATCAGGCCTGGCCAAGCTACCCATCCACCATTGGCCAATAGACCGGGCTCACATGTTATTTATGATTTAGACAATTGATGCCGTTAACTTATCAAGCTCCCCTTCGTCTCTCTTACTCCCTCACATTTTGCACTGCCCCTCCAGCACGTTGAGCAGCAATACTGACGCAAGGCTCACCAACTACCTGCTTACCTTGGAACCACCCGTATCACGGCCGGAACACATCGACAGCGGACACAATGGAGCCTCTCAACGTCTTGATGGTGAGTCCTCACACTCCAATGGCATCACAGCTGTCCTCTGACTGCCCCGCCAGATCGGTACTGGTGAGTACACCACGGGCTTCGTAGGAGGCGGTGCCTCTGGCTCGGACAAGAAGGTCGGTGTCGTCGGCCTGTCAATGTTTGACCTACGCCGGAGAGGCAAGGTTGGCAAGCTGGGCATGGCCGGTGTCAACGGCAAGAAGTTCCCAGCCATTCGTGAGTACACTCCCGTCACTTCCTCTGGCACCCTCAGGCGCCGTTCCTCGCCGTCGAACGAGCCCGGTGCTGATGCCAGCCAGGGGAACATCTCAACAAGAATATCCAGCAGGTCTACAACAACCTAGACACCTCGTTTGATTCTTTCCCCGACAACAACACGGTCGACCCGGATGCTTTCAAGAAGGCCATCGACCAGCTCAAGCCCGGTGATGCCATCACCATCTTCACCCCTGACACAACGGTGAGATCCACGTCCTCGGGAATTGCAGCCTTGTCTTGTCGGAGCCAGAAACTAATGCATGCCTCTATAGCACTTCCCCATCGCGCTCTATGCGATTGAGCGCGGAATCCATGTCATGATCACAAAGCCCGCTGTCAAGCTCCTTGAGCACCACGTCAAGCTCATCGAGGCTGCGCAAAAGACCGGTGTCTATGTCTACATCGAGCACCACAAGCGCTACGACCCGGCCTACGCGGATGCCCGCTTCCGCGCCCAGAAGCTCGGCGACTTTAACTACTTCTACAGCTACATGTCGCAGCCCAAGTCCCAGCTCGAGACCTTCAAGGCCTGGGCCGGTGTCGAGTCCGACATCAGCTACTACCTAAACTCGCACCACATTGACGTCAACGAGTCCATGGTCACGCAGCTCGGCTTCGTCCCCGTCAAGGTGTCCGCCTCGGCCTCCAAGGGCGTCGCGACCGGCCTGGGCTGCAACGAGGCCACCGAGGACACCATCTCGCTGCTCGTGCACTGGGAGAAGGCGGGCGAGCCGGGAAAGCAGGCCACGGGCGTCTACACGGCGTCGTGGACCGCGCCCCAGAAGGCGGGCGTGCACTCCAACCAGTACTTCCACTACCTGGCCGCCAACGGCGAGATCCGCATCGACCAGGCCAAGCGGGGCTACGACGTCGCCGACGACAGCGCGGGACAGCTCATGTGGTACAACCCCTTCTACATGCGCTACGCGCCGGACGAAGACGGCAACTTCAACGGCCAGACCGGCTACGGCTACGTCTCGATGGAGAAGTTCGTCGACGGGTGCCGCGCCGTCAACGCCAAGACCCTGACGCCCAAGGACCTCGACAACAAGGGCCTGCCGACGCTGAGGAACACCATCGCCACGACGGCCATCCTCGAGGCCGGCAGGAGGAGTATCGATGAGAACAGGGAGGTCAGGATCGAGTCTAAGGATGGGGCGTGGAAGTTGGTTTAAGGAGAGCCAGGGTTGTATGCAGGGAGAGATGGGCTTGAAATTCACCATTGGCATCTTGCGTAATTTAGATTGCATTTTTTGGGTTAAGGATAGCCATATCAAAAGAAAGTTTTCCAAGTTTGATCTGTCCCCCTGCACGTCGCCTGGCTTATACGCGCTATGGCAGCCTATATACATGCACGTCGTCTGAACAAGAGAGGTGGCGTGGGTGAATTTGCGACGGCGCCACATTGGGGACGTCTATATTGTAAAGAAAATAAGCCGAAGATCTCGCTATGTGACTTGTTTGTGTAGTATTTAGCTGCGTCACACTGGATTTGTGTTCACGGGGAACGAATTAATATCAGTAGTCTGATGCACGTACTCACACTCTCGAGCTAGACGAAAGTTACAAAGCCACTGTGCATGGTACCCAGGAAGATTGGCATAAAATTCTGACTTTTTGGTATTGGCATCTCCTGATATGATCATTGATTTCGATCTATCTCACCCTCCTACCTGTCTTCAAAGCATTGTGGGAGACCAGTGTCGGAAAAGTCTACGAACCACCAAAACAACAACGTCTAAGTTACCCAGCAGGAATCGCCGAGATAGGCCTCCGCCCTCGAATGACGGTGCTTATCGGGTGGAGTGCGCGCGCGTATAACTAGACCTCCTGACCTCCACTTCCTCCTCATCATAAGTCGCCTCGCTCATGAACGGGCTGTTGGCCCTGATCTGCTTGCCCTTGAACAGGAGTACCACGGGGATGGCGGTCATGGCGAGGCCCACGAAGCCCAGCAGCGACCCCGCCCAGCCGAACCCGAGGGTGTTGAATAGGGGCTGGGACGCGAGGGGCAGGAACGCGCCGAACATGTTCCTGCCGAGGCTCGCGGCCGAGAGCGCGCTCGCGGCGTACTTCTCGTAGGCGTCGGTCAGGTAGTTGACAACACCGAGATATATAGAGTAGATGCCGATGCCGACGCAGGCAATGCCGCAGGTCGGGACCAGCCAGTACACGCTACCGCGGCAGCTCCAGCCGTACCAGAAGAGGCCGGCCCCGAACAGTACTGAGCCCGGGATGGAGAAGTAGAGCCGGGCCTCAGGGATGGGCTTCCCCGGCCTGTCCTTGTTGCGGCCCGCGGACTTGAGGTACATCATGTCCTGCAGGGGGTTGATGAAGGTGGCGATGAGGGCTCCCGCGCTGATGGCGAGCTGGACGAGGCCCGTCTGGAGTGTATCGAAGTTGTATGCCGACTCGAAGGTTTGGACGACGGATGAGAAGAACAGGAAGAGGATGCCCCAGGCGAATGAGACCCATCTGGATTTAGTTAGCAATGTCATCTAAAACACTTGAGAATTCGAGCACCTACAGTGTAAAGAATATCACAACAGGCTCCTTGGTTAGCATCCGAGCCGGTCTCGCGAACGAAAGCTCCAGCTGCGTAACGATCGAGTCCCGGTTCAGCTCGCTCTCAGCGTATATCGGCCTGCCCGTCTCCTTCCTGAGCTTCCTCGCGCGGCGGGCGAGGATGACGTCGCTCCGGGTCTCGCGGAGGATGAGCCAGAAGATCGGGATGAGGCCCGCGTTGTAGATGATCTGGACGTAGAAAATCCATCTCCATGGGTCCACTTTGTCGGTCTGGATGATGGCGCTGCCGATAAAGGGCCCCAGCGCGATGCCCGCGACGGAGGTGAAGCCGAACAGGGACATGGGCAGCGAGCGGGCCCGGTCGCCCTTCCAGACGTCGGCGATCGAGCCGCCCACAATGTTGATGCTCACTGATGATGCGCCTCCGCCGAACTATACAGCAGACAGTGAGTTAGTGGCGGTGGGCATAGAAGTGTGAGTGTGTTCACGTACGAAACGGGTCACAATCAGTGTTGCGTAGTTTTGAGCAAATGCCGACCCGAAGAGGAATGCGACGAATATGATATAGGCACCGAAATATCTGAAGAAGGGTATATTGTCAGTACAACTTGTCTCACTGACATCAGACTCAAAGGCACAGACACGAGAGCAAATACCTACCCAGGCATGCGCCCTTTAGCCTCAGTCAATGGTACGAATATCAACGGCCACACAGCGGCTCCAATATTCCAGCTGACCGTCGCCCAGATCGAGTTGTCGAAGGGTGCCGTCAGGATGTTGAACTGCGAGCTGTAGTACGAGGCGCCGACGCCATAGCTCCCCGCCGGGAGGCCGGTAAGGATGGAGACGAAGCAGACCGTCACGGTTAGAACCCATTTGTACCACGTCGCCCAGTTGAAGGGGTTCTCTGGGTCGTCTGGGCCGTTCCACGAGTGGATGATCCTGCCGTCGTCGGTGGTCTTCTCAGCGCCGGGGACGCCGGCGGCTGCTTTCCGCCCTTTATCTGATACGCCATGCTCTGTGCTTGGTGGTGTTGTTGAGTCTGATGAGAAATACGACGGGTCATCTGCCTCTTGTGTCAGTCTTCCTTTCTGGAGTCTGGGCCCGGAGTGGTGGATAACATACCAGGCCGGTGCGGTGCAGGCGGCCGGTGCTCTAGTTTCTCAACGTCTGGCTCGGACATTTCGGGTAGTGCGTGTCCTAGACTCTGACCCAATATTTAGGTATGGTGCAGCGACGTCAAGAGCCAGATCGAGAATCATAAACAAAACATGCAATTTCTGCGTCTTGAGAGCTCTTTTCCATTTTAAATACATGCAGGGTCTGTGGGACCGTTAAAATGGACTTGATATGGATCACAGTACAGGCTGAAAATGCGGCTCTTTCGGAGGGCTCATTCAGGCATCATCGCCATCGTTGAGTACATCCTGTTAGTCAGGGCGAGTGAAGTCATGGTGATGTCGTGGGCCCTGAGTCGTTGGCCGGACAGCCTGGCAAGCCCCGAAGATGAGCCGTCGTCAACGAAGCTCGCGACTCGCCTGATAAGTTCGCCATATTAACGGTTCAGGATGGGGCAAAAAGGCTTGCGGCTCTGCGTCATGCCGGTCTGATAACTTGGCGGACCCGTGTGGGCGGCCCAGTTGTCGCTGAAATAGTGCGGCGAAGATCCGAGTTGATCGGCGTGCGTGTTTGAGAACAAACTCTGGTCCACGTGTGTGACATCAGACTCAATCGACGACAAAGTCCGAACCCTGGCTTGACATATGTATCGGCCCTTCTCCTGGCCGCGCAATAAAGTTGTCTTGCTCCAAAACTATTTAGACAGAGTCACATCAGAGTCTTCAATAATGCTTTGACCACATAGGGCTGCTAGGTTATTCCCCTTGGACAAAATGTCCTACCGACAGGGTAAATGCCCAGGTGGATGGATGATCTAGGCTTAGGGATGGAGTTTGAGATCAGTTTGGATGACCGCCAGCTTTGGAACTATCTACTTACAGCACACATATGAAGATTCGTGCTCCTATTTAGAGGAATCCGAGACATGATGTATTTCTGCTGCAGAGTTCAGAATTCGAGATACTACAAGGCCCATTTTGAGCCGGATTGTGCTTGATAAAAGGATCACTACTAAAGCCACAGTATTTTCTACATGTGTACATACGCACGTAAAAAGAAAGCCTGGGAGGGTAAAAGTATTGTGTGCAGCACATGAATGCAGTATTCACATCGACCCTCATAGGATGTTGTTTTCACCGCTTGGGATCGCCCATTTGTTGCTTGCAAGAATTGTGCCGTACCCAGGTAATGAGACTGTTCCAAATTCATTGCTTCTATCAAGCTAGGTCCTTAGTACTGATATTTGTCATGGATAATGTTGCCAAACTGAACGCAATGATTACTCTCAAGCCCACAGACAGTATTTGATCTGGCAATGAATGCGTACAAGCAAGCCAGATGAGTACAAGAAGAAACATAAGTTGACAAGTTCATCACCATTTCCCACCAATTTTAGCTGATACCACACGTGGGACTCCTCTCTCCTTGTGCCCTGGCAATTGCAAGGCACAATTTGAGAAAAGTCCTGCCTGAAGTGTAGGCAGAGATGAGCGGGTGGCAACTTGCAGAGGCTGCAGTGCAACCAGAAGTACCGAGTACAAACGTCTTAGGCTGTGTTTCACATTGCACCTAAATGAGTTTCCTATTGATTTCTCTCTAGCACTCTTTGTGATGTGGTTGTTGGTCTAGTTTTGACACCTGTCTAACACTGTGTCAGAAATCAATCTTGGGTGAAAATTGTGTCTAAACGATCCTCGCCTCCAGACCCCACAAAACAAAAATGCGATTCAATATTTTCCGTGTTCAGCAAAATGGTATTCGCGCCATGATGACAGTTGGATTAATGCTTAATTTTTGACTGGTGCTAGATCTACCGAACTATCGGCGCCGGGCGGGTCCGTCCTTAGTCGCCGAATTGAATCCATAAATGCCGGTAGTCGGAGATCGCACAAGGCGCCCTCTCGCTTATCGAGTTTCACAGAACTTTTCTGACGACTCATGCACACACCGCTGACTGTGTCGCATTTTCTCCTCAATACAAAGACATATTCCAGCATCAAGTATATTCAACTCTGCTGTTGCGATATCCGTATCACTGCGTGAGGTCAGCTGAAGGTGGGGGTCTCCGGGAAAGATGAACGGGCAGAACGGGGACGTCATCGTCGACCCAAGGCAAGCACCAGCCCTCGATGGAGCGCGGGACAGCGAGACAACACCGCTTCTCAACGGGCAGCCAAAAGCTGCTGCGGGAGATGCTGAAGCACAGCCGCATGATGGCCCCTCAGAGAACCAGGAGCAGACCGTGCTGGCCGACGACGTCACCGGCCCGAAGCTGTGGCTCATCCTCAGCGCCGCGTACGTGGGCGTCTTCCTGGGCGCCATCGACTCGACCATCATAGCGACGCTGTCAGCGCCCATCTCGAGCGAGTTCAAGTCGCTGAGCCTGCTGTCGTGGCTGGCCACCGCCTACCTGATCGCCAATGCTGCCTGCCAGCCCATCTCGGGCAGGCTGACCGACATCTTCGGCCGGGGCCCCGGGCTGGTGTTCAGCAACATCTTCTTTGCGGCGGGGAACCTCATCTGCGGCCTCGCCCAGACCGACACCGTCATGATCGTCGGCCGCGTGGTTGCGGGCATCGGGGGCGGCGGGCTGATGTCGATCTCGACGTTCCTGGGCTCCGACCTGGTCCCTCTGAGGAAGAGGGGCATCGTTCAGGGCATGGGCAACATTTGTTTCGGGTCTGGCGCAATGCTTGGGGGAGTCTTTGGTGGCTTCATCAACGACAACTCGTCGCGGGGGTGGAGGCTGGCATTCCTCGTCCAGGTCCCCGTCATCGTGGTGTCGGGCCTGCTCGTGTTCTTCCTGGTCAAGGTCCCACCCAAGGCATCTAACAAGTCGTACATATCCCGCATCGACTTTGTAGGAGCCTTCCTGACTGTTGCTTTCCTCGTGGTTCTGCTGCTGGGCCTGAACGCCGGGGGGAACTTGGTCGCTTGGACCGACCCTCTGGTCCTGACGACACTGCCGTTGGCATTCGTCTTGCTCGTAGGCTTTGTCCTGTGGGAAAGCCGGGCTGCGCTGCCTATTATTCCAGTGCGCCTGCTTGTCAACCGGACCGTCCTCACAGCCTGTATCACCAACCTCGTCTGTACAATGGGTCAGTACCAAAACTCCCTTTCCCTCTGCCCGTGCTCCTCTCCTTCGCTTGTTCCCACATCCCAGGATGACACACAGTGTGCTTCGAGACGCCTTTGAGTCATCTTGCGAGCTGTCTGCTCATCAAATGCGGGTATGGACTCCAACGTGAGGAGATTTGAAGCGCTCCTGAGACACGTCAAAACTACCAGATGAGATACCATATGACTAACACGTCACTTAGCAAACACGATGTTGATATTCTATATACCACTCTATCTTCAAGTCCTGGGCTACTCACCGACGGAGTCTGGCTATAGGATCTTCTTTGCCTCCCTAGGGGTCTCGATAAGCTCCATTGGCTGCGGTCTAATCATGAAGAGGACTGGCCGGTACCTGGGCCTCGGCACAACTGTCCTCGTGTCATTCGTGGCGGGCAACATCGTGTTCTCGACCCTCGACGCCAACAGCCCAAGCTGGGTGCCTTTTCCCGCCTTTGTGCTCACGGGCGCGGGCTACGGGGGCATGCTTACAGTGACGCTCCTGGCTTGCATTGCTGCGGTTGACCACTCTCAGCAGGCGGTTATCACGTCTGCGACGTATGCTTTCAGGTCCGTGGGAGCCACGCTTGGTGTTACCATTGCCTCTACAGTGTACCAGAATATCCTGAAATCGCGTCTCTGGGACCGATTCGGGTCGCTGCCGGGGGCGGCGGAGGAGATCAAGAGGATTAGAGATGACCTGGGCGAGCTGAAGCATCTCCCCGATGGCTGGAAGGACGGCGTCATCGCATCGTTCATGGAGGCCTTCAGGGGCGTGTGGCTGACGGGGCTGGGCCTTGCATTGGTGGGATTGATATGCGTCTCGCTGATGAGGCAGCATACTTTGCACTCGAACCTGGCAAGGAGGGAGGACTAGAAGCACGCGCCGACATACTCGGGTATCGGAACGTAGAGACAGATGAGGCAAGCAGATCAGACAGATCACAAAGCATATGTAGGCAATTCTGCCTTACACTGGTCTTCTTCGTGTGTCTTTCCCCCATGTTCTCATGCGGCGCGGATATCTGTTCTGTCTTTTGGATTCTTCATTGCGATGCAGGCGACCGCCAGAAACCGAAGGCACGCGCAACATGTCAACGGTCGCACCGGATTGACCGTAACTCAACCAGGCCGGGAAGGCACGAGCTTCGACCTCAACCGCCGTACCAGCCTGCGATCTTCCCCAGACCGACCCGTGCCCAACAAAATTCTTCTCGTGGGCGACACTCGCCCGTCTCTCCCCTTCGACCGCCTCCTGCTTGAGTTCATTTCGCCATGCATTTCTCTCGTCCGCTCGATTCTTCCTCTGCAAGCTGGCCATTCAATACGAACTTACTGGGGCTGCCGTCTCATGGAATGGTCTGGAGCAACTGTCGTCGGCCCGTAGCTTCCCTTGGGTGCCTGGAGCATGCACCAGCTCCCACAGGCAGACGGCGGCCCCGCTGGACCCTCGATGCATGGCCTACCTGCATGCAAAATCAAACTCGACGAACTCGAAAGGTAATGTCGAACCTGTGTACGAGACGCTTGCAGCATGCTGCTACCCGAAACGTCCAATAACTTGATGGCATTCCAGTTAGTCACCAGCGCTGATGGTCCCTGGGTTTCTGGCGGGCGTGACCCCTGTACCGTCGTCCGATCCATCATTCTCGTGCTAATGCAGGTGCCCTCTTAGACCGACATCCAGGTACCGACGTCTTGGGACGTATTGCAGGCAAGAGGGCGGACAATCAAATTCCCATCAATCACACCTCGCACAGCCTCCGGCCGACCTGTCAGACCCGAGAGAGCCACATCTGAAGTCGCCACGCCCGCTGCGCCGCCCAATTCACCGCGTGTTTCTCCTTGCAGAAGCGGAGCCCACGCCTCGACCAGCCTCGCCTCCTGCTCTACCCGTGCGAGGTTTCAGCATTGTGGGAATCAATCCGAGTGTAACGCGACGTTGCACGCAGGGCAAAAACTCTCTTTGCTAGTGCTGTGACGCCGTACGGGCTGAAGCTTGCTACACGCAAATTTACTCCTCGGAGCAAGCACAACGCGCAGGATATCCGTCCGCTCGGTCCTGATCTAAAGGATGTAGACACCGTTTTGTGTCAAGAATTACTCCCATCTGACTTTATGGACAGAACCACAGATACGGTCCACTTCTCTTGCCGCGACAACCTGCCGCAACCACACGCCCACAGGCAAATTCGCAAAGCACTTCGTCACCGGCTAGGCAGCCAGGCTAGATAGGCGAGTGACGGCCTACACTGGCCAGACCAGATCTTTATTTCAGCCCCTCAACCGCTCTTGCACGAACCGGCCAAGCCGGGCACCTTGAGGCCTGCCCTATCCGGAAGGTGCCTCGTGCTAAGTGGCCTGGCATTGTACTAGCCGCCCGTCTACCCTACCTGGCCACAATGCACCTGGAACACGCAGTACGGCGTCATGTAAAGGGGATCTGCACCATCTCACAACATCGTCAGTACTGTACTTCGTACTGTGAGAGATTTCCAGATCTGCTTTGTGAATGAGCCGACCACGGCAAGAGGGCCCGCTCACCGTTGTCACCTTACCGCCGGCTTGCGCAGGCATGATCTTCAGCTTCACGATACCATCACCTGGCCGACCCTAGTGGTCTGACTTGCCTAGAAAGAGAGGCGAGGGGCTGCTCACGAGATGCTGCTTCACAGTCGGCAACGCACGACAATGGGCTGAGGACCCGTGATCGTCGACTCGCCCTGGAATGCCGACGGAAAATACCAAGCTTCAATCATCAACAAAGAGCTTCCTGCAGGATCAATGCACTTTTCCGCGTACAGCTAAGCTAGGAACTGGCGATATGCCATGCAGGTCAGCAGACCACCAGTATTGCTCACTGTGGATGATGCCCAGCATTTTCGATGATTCCGACTTGTCAGCCTGTGCAGCACACGCATTCGCTCACGCACAACGGCGGCTCGTGCTCTAGTGTCATCTTCAAGACTTTCCCAAGCGAACCATTCTCTGGTTCCCTTACATGACGGCCATGCGTTTCCGAGAAACACCTTGTAAATTTACGCCAAGCCGTGTGAGGGTGTGTCACGAAGCCGTAGAAACCACCATCCTGCCCCAGAAAAACCTGGTCCAACCGCACCGGTCGTCAGCGGAGTTTACTGGATTGTCTGTGGTATATTGTTCCCGATAGGCTGTTTCGCGGGTTATCGTGGGTATATTGTGTCGTCGAACCAGGCTGCCAGGTTGACGACCGACACATCTGTGACACCGCATTACCGCTGACTATCAACTCGATAGGTAACGATCCCCGACACTGATGTCAGAGCGAGAATGCCCGTCCCATTCGACAGCGAGACGTTCTCCTACAGTACTGCCCCATGGTTCAGCCCAGGGGAACTGAGCCCTGGCACTCCCGCTTGTGACGGAGCGTCTAGCCGGAACTAGTCCCAACTCGGGGCGCCTCTTGCAGCTCTCTGATTCTATCTCGGCCGATGAGCAGGGTCATTGAATAGGCTGATCTCCCCTTCTCAGACACCTCCAGCGCTTGAGGACATTAGCTCCTTGCTTGTTAACAAGATGCATCCATGGGCAGTTACGAGAGGCCGAAGACCAGGCAGAATGGAGAACGCGCATCACTCGAATGCTAGAAATGACCGAGATAACGCAAAATCTTAGTTCGACCCTGTTAAGGTTCGATCGGTATCTTGAAAGGAGAATTTTCGACCTCCATGAGTGGGATCTATAAATAGCTAGCGTTCTGCTTTACCCTGCGGCCGAAGACACCCCCTTCCCCATCGCGGCACGACGCCACAAGAATAATATTGCCGTTTCCAGTGCCGCGTCTTCGACACTCGTACCCTTCGGGTGTCTATTCGGTCCCGATAGCCATGGGCCGCTAAGGGGGAGGGTGAGCTAGACGCAGATCGATGAAGAAATCAAGATTCATCGTCACATTCCGTTGCGTTTCTTCCGCTCGGAAGTTCGACCTTTTCCGACCTAGGTCGGCTGAACGAACACGAAACCTCTGCCGCACATAATACAACGTCGATGGCGAAAGACAAGAGGATCTTCGGGTAAGCTCAGTCATGATATGGGGACAACGCGGTCGAACGAAACATGTCGGCCACAACCCGTGCATGTGCCGTGACGTACGGCTCCGCCTTCTCCGCACTCTCGGCACACCCCCGACCTCGAGGCCGGACAGGGTCTTGGAAGATAGACCTCCCGCGAATAACGGGACAAAGGAAGCCCAGCAAGCAGAGGACAGTTTGGGACTAGCGTGTGCAAAACGCTTCTGCCTGGTCCGGGAATGAGGGTATGATGTGGTTCTCTCGGAACACTGTGTACAATGTAACGGCATATCTGCTCATGCGGATCGCACGGAGTACTCCTGCATCGGCCGACGAGCCGATTTATCTTTTGCCCCGGAGTACAGGCCCGAATAGGAAGCCGAGGTCCAGGCGCTCCATCGGAGTGCAGCCGGGGAACATGCAAGGAGATCCCATACCTTGTGTGTACGAGGGACGTATTGAACGGCCACAAACCAGCACAGGTCGGGTTTTCTAGAAGGGAATTGTGGTCAACTTCGAAACGTCGTAACGGCTTTTCTGCAATGCCACGGCAGCAGATACATTTCCGCGGTCCTTTTGTCGACCCCATCCATCATTGTTGCCCTGGATCCACCGCAACAGCAAGGCTACCCTCGCTGTCAAGTACCGCCCGATTAAGCCGCACCGTGGAATAACGCTGGCTGGCAGCAACCGCAACGTCCCGGAATTCCATTGCGAAGGCCACAGGAAGTTGGTAATCCACAGATACCAAGTAAGCCGAGCTTCCACTGGCTTCGAGCCCTTCGGCCACACGTTGCGTTGCCGGTGGCTGGTGGCTTAGTTGGCACTTGCCCTGCCAAAACCCATCCCGTTGGCCTATGAACGAAAATCGAACCACCTTTGTGGGTCGGCCCTTTTTACGGGGCAACCTACTGTGTACTGTACCGAGGCTTTTCGGCCCGCTCTCGAGTGACCCAGTTTGCGGCTGTTGGCTCTGAGATGACCAACATGCCAAGATGCGGACAGCTTGGACACCAAGTACATGTGCTCGGCAATTTTCACATGCTGCAATAGCCACTTCGAAAGCAGTTGGTTGGGTTCCGAAGTTCCGCGACTTGTTCAATCCGCAGCCTGCCCGCGGACCCAACCCAAGAATGCGGATATGATTGTACTGTACACACGTCGCTGACGGGGGTGGGGGGCGTGCTCCATGGGAAGGTTTTCTCGAACCAAACTGACAAAGAGCCTGGCACACGACAGGCTTTTCGTCCTCAACCTCACGACGCCTATGTGCCCGGACCTGTTCCACCGCAGCGGAACGGGATAGGATCCTACCTTTCCAGCACCTGGGTAGCATCCAGCCCATGGGGCGATCCCTCATCTCAAACCATCTGCTTCCCGTTGCTTGATTTCCCGTGGCTTTATCCTTCTCTCCCAAGCTTTCTATCTCTATTGAGTATAGAACGGCGTCATTGTCGTGACAAGGCAGATGTCAGGGTCAGATTCAGGGATGCCAATCCTGATGCTCGTCGGAACCGAAATTAACATATCGGCCGACCGTGGTGGGTCTTGCACAGTTCAGTGCGTGGCATCAACAAATTATGTGCATGGGAACTGCCGTGAGTGGATGTGATGGACAGCCATGTTGCACGCAATCCACAACTCAACAGCAAGGGGAAGACCAGGCACAGCCGATGCTTCTTCCGCCAGACTGCGAAGGCCACGGATGTCAGCCAGCATTGGTCCTGTCAAGTAACAAAGCGCCGCCCCTTTCAAACTATCCCAGAAGCCAAGATGGGAGTTGCATACAAGATGGGAGCTGCATACTTCGACAATCCTCAGCGGTACG